ATTTGGATATTAAAAAGATTATTTTGGTTTTTGTTTTTGCACATATTGATGACTTTCTTTGCACTTCTTTTGCTTAGGGGTTCAGAATTGAAACTCTTTATAGTACAAATTCTGGCCATAAGGAAACCATCAGACAAACTGGACCAGTGCCTGTGAGCTTATGGCTATGTTAGGGCTAGAATTTTGATCCCTGACTCCCAGCTATCTGACCTCTGGACCCTGCAGCTTCCCTGCAATCTCTGAAAAGTTACTTTTTTCCCAGCATTGCAGGTGAAAATCCTCCAGCCTAGCCACAAAGTGTTACAGGGCAGCTGTTCAGCAGCATGGCCACAGTTTTGATAGAGAAAGCGAAGTATGTCCAATCAAAACAGCAAAGGGTAATCTAGGTCAGCAGCCTGGTCACATAGGTGGCTGGAGCCACAAAAGAATCCAACTCATCCCAAAGTGATGCATGTCACAGTTTGGAAGGTCAACTCCCTGCTCTAGCTCACCTAAATCTTTGCCAGCATACGACAATTTCAAGGGAAGCATATCTGTGTCCTGGACCTTTCCAAACCATTTATTCAATAACAATGCATTGGAGGGACTGGCTTCACAACTCACTATCAAAATAGCTTGTTAACTATTCACTCTGTGTTAATGATAATACCTCAAATGGGAAGGCAGGAAGAAAATCGTGTTTAAAATGCAAAGGGCTTAAACAGGTTGCAAAACAACAAACAAAAGAAGAACACACGACCCAGCATTAGTTGTAAAAAAAAAAAAATTGGTTATTTCTAAGTAAATATGCATACTTTCCAATACTGAAAGAGAGTGAAGATCAGAAGTGGGGTTTAATAAAACCTGCTTTCACGACTTGGTTTTGTTTCTATCAAGCTTGCCTTATGGTAGTGAGCTTCCAGGTACTCTTGGAGAAGAGGATATTCCAAAGGTAATTTCTTTTTTTTCCTTCAGAGGCCCTGCCTTTGAATATTATTATTATTTTTTTTAGTTTCATTAAACATATATTCCACCACTACATCGGAATGCTTATTAACGTTGCCAGGCAAAGTAACTGCTGGGTATTAATCTCTTGGAGGCCTGGACCATATGCTTGTCCAGACTTGTCTTCTCAGTACAGCTCACTAACCAAAACCAACACCAAGGACACAGTGTCCTTCAATTCAATTACAGAAAGTTCCTGGGCCGCTAACTCTAAGAGGATCGAGTGCTTTAAATATTTCTTCATGCAATAAGCATGGCTCATGTAATGAGCCTTTTTTATATGTGTGTCAAATTTGTATAATGTGCCCCTGTGTCTGATGTAAAGGAACTGAAACAGGGCCACTGCCTCGTACAACTCCACTGGATGCATACACATACTAGTCTGTGGTGCCTTACGGAGTTGCACAGTGCACAACCGGGGCAGCCTTGGGTAGTGGTCCTGATTGTTGATCATTAGACAGGCCTCTGGGGAGCTTGGGTGTGGGCTATTGGGAGAAGGCTGACAATGTATGCTTCAAGGAAAGTAGGGGGGACATTAGAGTTGGATTGGGGCAGAGTTCACCCTGTGTGATGATGGGGTGGGATTTATACTGCTTGCCAAGCTTTAAAAAAGGCTGATGAAGGAGATATTAATGCCCTGCTTCCTGGGAGGCTGTAAGTTCTGGGTGTGGTTGACCTCAAACCCCAGAGGGGGCTGGGCAGTAGCCAGCAGGTTACAGGCATTCCCCAGCCTACAACTTCTCTGAAGGTGTGTTAGCCCTCACTGTACTAGATAGGGAAGGAGCTGTTTATTATTATTATTTTTTAACTAGTAGCACCTTAATGTTTGGGCAGAACTTGCTTTCCCTGCAACCCAAAAACTTTCTGGTGAGCACACCTCATGAGAAGGGTTCTCTTCTGCCAGCAGAGTGCTCAAGCCAGCGCTCACCTACATCTGTAGATCCTTTTGGAGATCCTAAATGGAGCTGCTGAATTGTTGTCATAGTTACCATGGGAAGTTTCTGAGGTCAGAATGTTTAAAAGGAGCGCAGCCCTGGGCTCTGGGTATCCTGGGTTCCTGAGTAGGCAACTGATGCAAAAAAAAAAAAAAAGAGAGAAAGAAAGAAAGAAAGAAAGAAAATAATAGGTTTCCCCTTCCTTCTTCCATATTTCCAGTCCCTAAGCAAAAGTCTGATGTCTCAGGGGTCATCCTAGCTCCAAACCATCCCAAATCTACTACCCACACCTGACTTAGCCTTAAAAGGTTAGCCTGACCTGGCAGCACCTGACTGTGGCCCTGGGTGTCTCCACCTTTTATCAACCAAGACAAGTTCCTGGATTCCCTTGTGCAGGCAGCTGCTTCTAGGCAAAAGACACTTGCGAAGGAATTCCCTGCATTTAATGTGTTACAAAGGAAGTGATATTTTTGAACACCTCTGATATGGTTTGGCTCTGTGTCCCCACCCAAATCTTATCTCAAATTGTAATCCCTACGTGTAGAGAGAGGGAAGTGATTGGATCAAGGGGGCAGTTTCCCCATGCTGTTCTCTTTATAGTGAGTTCTTATGAGATCTGATGGTTTTATAAGTGTTTGACAGTTCTTCTTTCACTCTGGTCTCTCCTGCCGCCTTGTGAAGAAAGTGCTTGCTTCCTCTTCACCTTCCGGCATGATTGTAAGTTTCCTGAGGCTTCCCCAGTCATGTGGAACTGTGAGTGAATTAAACCTCTTTCGTTTATAAATTACCCAGTCTTGAGTATTTCTTTATAGCAGTGTGAAAATGGACTAATAAAACTTTTTAGGAGTCTAGCACTTCACATGTATCTCATGTAATTTACAAACTTAGCAAGAGAGAAAATATCATTCACATTTTATCTAGGAGGAACCAAGGGCTTATAGAGGTGATGCCCAGGTCTGCACAGCTAGGAAGCAGCAGAGCTGGTATTCAAATTCAGGGCTGTTTGGTTCCAAAGGTGCTCTTTTTTCCAAGTCATGGCTGCCATTTTAGCCACTGATAATTAGTAGCTCTGAGGGACCCTCAACCATCTACGGGGCATGGAACATTCATTTGTTCATTCGATAAATGTATTTTGAGTCTGCTCTGTGCCAGACCCTCTTCTGGCCACTGGGGACATAAAGCTAAATCAGACACAACCTCTGCCCTTAAGAAACTAACCCACTGACAACCAGCAGTAATTAAAAGAGAGGAATCTATAAGATATTAGAGAGAGGGCCAGTCAAGGAAACCATTCTGGAGGAAATGACGCCTGATGGAAACAGCTAAGTTTCCAGGCATGTCCAGTTGCAGGGAATAAACAGCAGGTAAGACCCAATCTCTATGCTCAAAGAATCCATAGAAGAGTTACAGAGACACGACTCATGCTCATGACACAATGAAAGAGAATAAAATCACCAATTGAAGGCCCTCAGGTGTTCTACATGGAAGTGATGGAGGATTGACAGACTGAGGCAGAAGTTGAGACCAGTAGAGGAAGGCCATGGAAAATGAAATGGAAGCCACCTTTGTTCACACTATTCTTCATTAATCTTGGTATCTTACTTTTCCCTCTAGTTTTGCCAGTTACTTCTGGCTCTACCCTGACTTCTTTGTTCATTTTCCTTCCTGCTAAAGGAAAATACTTATTAACATCTTTAAAGCTGTGCTGAGAGCAAAGTATTATCCTAAGCCCTGATGGTGGTCATAGCATTGGAAATGTACAAAGATAAACAAGACATTAAAGCCCTTGAGTAGCAAACAAATAATGAAAAGTCTGATAGTGAGCTCCAAACCAAATGGCAAAAGTAAGGAAATGATTAATTCAGACTTGGAAACAGGGGTGAGGGGTGGGGGATGGGGGATGGGTGGAAGGCGTGGTGGTGGGGTGGGGGACTGTCACCAGGAAAGACTTCATTGTTGCTGGTTTGTTCATTCACATTTTCAGGATTCATTCACTGATGTCTCCTATCTACAGTGTCTGCTCCTCAAAGAGCCCACAGTCCAGCACAGGTCTGGAAGACATAAACCATCACAATGTAGTGTGAGAAATAAGCACGAGACCTAAACAGGACCGTGGAGGCTTATAAGAGAGAATTCAGAAGATACTGTTGGTGGCTTTTGAACTGATTCCTAAAAATAAATAGGAAATTACCAAAGGAGAAGAGTGGAAAAGGCATGTAAAAAGGCATTGAGAGTGTGTTTGGAGGGGGATGAGGCACTAAGATATATTACCCATTAGGTAGAAAGACTTGAATACCAGACTAACAAGTTTGGCCTTTATCTTCGAAATAATGGGCAACCATAGAAGAAATAGGAGCATATGAGGGCCAAGATAAAATTTTAGTTTTGGAATTTTCCCTTTGGTATTGCGTGTAAGGTGTACTAGAACGAGATGATACCGGGGCTTAGCCACAGACGCCTCAGCTGCATCTCTGTGCCTGGGAGACGGCACCACATGCGAGCCTAGCTGAATGGGAGAGTGGGAGGTGCGGGTGAGTGCTTGGAAGGTTAAGGGAGAGTCCCTCCTGAGGTCTACATTCTGGGCAAGGGCAAACGCAGTTCTAGGCACCGCACAGCTGCTGGGAAGACCCGCCTCCCCTTCCAGATCCCTCTGGGGCGGAGCTCGGGCCAGAGCACGTGATGCTTGGAGCACCACCTTTACTGTGGGCACTCTTCTCATTCATCCGCGGTTTCACGGGCCACCACTTCGATCTCCAACACCTTGACCGTATGCCTTCGTGAGCGAGGAATCCGTTCTCCTTGACACGTCCCTATTACTCCTCCCGCAAAGCCCAGTTAGGGAAGAGAAATATCAAAGAAGTCCCTTGCCCACACAAAAGATGGCGACCTGCTGCGCTCACTCTGGGTGGGGAGAGCGGGTTCCAGGCGCCCGGCCTCACTAGGCGAGGCGCAGACGGAAGAGGCGTCTCTGGAGGTAACTTTTCGACCTTCCTGGGAGTAGCTCTGAAGCGAGGGGGCGTGGTCTAGTCTGAGTTCTAACAGATGATTGGTCTTCCGGCAGGTAGGTGGGGTATGAGCGCTACCCCACCCCTCTCTCTTCGAACCGGAAGTGTCTCTGGGTCTTTCCAGCTGGTTGTCATTTCACTCGGCTCGGTCCTGAGGAGAAGGACTCAGCCGCGGCTGCGGGACCCGGGCACCGGGAGGCGGTGGCGGCGGCGGCGGCGGCAGCAGCAGCGGCGACAGCAGAGGAGGAAGAGGAGGAAGAAGGAAAGAAAAAGAAGAACCAGGAGGAGTCCTCAACAACGACAGCGGGGACTGCGGGACCAGACGGCGGCGACGGCCCAGCAACCGTGAGGAGAAACAAAAGCCTTCTAAATTATAGTTTAAAAAAAATTCTGGGAGAAAGAGAGAGAAAGCCGAGGGGGGAGGCCCTTCTCCTTTAAAATAACTACGGTAGTGGGTTTTTCCTTTTTTTCCTCTTTTTTCCCTCTCTGCGGAGAATCGAACTGAGGGAACTGAACAAACCGCCCCTGGGTCCCATGAGGGAAAAAAACCCCGGAGCCGCAGAGAGGGGAAGAGGCAGAAACCGCAGGACCTTCCAGGTCGCCCCCTCGGTCCCCGCACCCCCCGGCCGCCCGCTCCCCCTCGTCGAGTCTCGCTAACCCCTCCTGATCGCGACCCCCACAAGAGGGAGAAACGGGTGTTTCCAACCCCTTTCATGGGGGAGAGGAAGCCGCGGGGAGCCCAGGAACAGCGACCGCAGCAAGATCTGCACCCGGAGCCTCAGGAACAGCCCCAGAGGCCAAAACTGCACCCTGCGAAAGAGCAGAAAACAGGACCAGGAACAGCAGAAACCTCCCTGCGATCATCTTTCCATTAGTCAATGCTGATTTCCTCTCCCGAAACCAGGAATTCACTTCCCACCCCAGATAACCTAATATAATCTATATATATAAATATATAATATATAATGTTCTTAAATTATTCCTGATTTTTTTTAACCAAGCTGCCAAGAAAAGAACGTATTCCCCTCTTAGCCCTATTCTAATTTTTATGTGAGTGAATCTAAACTGCTGAGGAAAACCATATGTGATTGTTAAATTATATATATCTATATTTTTACTCCGCGCAAGGCTTATTCTTCTACATCCATAGATGCTTGAGAAGCTCTGTTTTTGTCATTCATGTACATTTTCCTTTGGAAAAAGAAAGCGCCTATTTTACTAACCAAAGACTTGATTTTTACCCTCTTCATTTTTATTCCCTCCTTTTTTTAAGCCCTTTTTTTTCCATGTCAATGTTTTAAGAGGTTTTTTTGAGTTGTTTTTTTCTGTCAGAGACCAGAATTCCAAATCAGAACAATTTAAGGTGATAAGCTGCGATCTTTGAGCTAGCTATAAATAAGACATTTCAAGCAGGCAAGCAAACAACTTAAATTTTGGGTAGAGGAAAAAAAGGCGTGAGGCATCAGGTTGTCATTTTTTATTGTGAGATTCTGCTCCCAAAAATAATAAATGGGGGATTACGGGTTTGGAGTGCTAGTGCAAAGCAATACTGGGAATAAATCTGCTTTTCCAGTCAGATTCCATCCACATCTGCAGCCTCCACACCATCACCAAAATGCCACCCCCAGCCCTGCTGCTTTTATAAATAATAACACAGCTGCCAATGGCAGCAGTGCTGGGTCAGCGTGGCTTTTTCCTGCTCCAGCTACCCATAACATTCAGGATGAGATCTTGGGGTCAGAAAAAGCAAAAAGTCAGCAACAGGAACAGCAAGACCCTTTAGAAAAGCAGCAGCTTTCCCCCAGTCCAGGTCAGGAAGCTGGAATACTGCCTGAAACCGAGAAGGCAAAATCAGAAGAAAATCAAGGGGACAATTCTTCGGAAAATGGCAATGGGAAGGAGAAAATAAGAATCGAATCTCCAGTGTTGACAGGGTTTGACTATCAAGAAGCCACTGGGCTGGGTACTTCAACCCAACCCTTGACATCTAGTGCATCGTCTCTTACTGGTTTCAGCAACTGGTCAGCAGCGATAGCGCCTTCCTCCTCTACAATAATCAATGAAGATGCAAGTTTCTTTCACCAGGGAGGGGTCCCTGCTGCTTCGGCTAATAACGGTGCTCTGTTGTTTCAAAATTTTCCCCATCATGTCAGCCCTGGCTTTGGAGGCAGCTTCTCTCCTCAGATCGGGCCTCTCTCACAGCACCACCCACATCACCCTCATTTCCAGCATCATCACAGCCAGCATCAGCAGCAAAGGAGGTCTCCTGCCAGTCCCCATCCCCCACCCTTCACACATAGAAATGCTGCTTTTAACCAGCTGCCTCATTTGGCGAATAATCTTAACAAACCCCCCTCTCCATGGAGCAGCTACCAGAGTCCGTCACCAACACCCTCCTCTTCCTGGAGCCCGGGCGGTGGTGGATATGGTGGCTGGGGAGGTTCCCAAGGCCGAGATCACCGCAGAGGGCTGAATGGTGGAATAACGCCCCTGAACTCCATCTCGCCTTTGAAGAAAAATTTTGCAAGCAATCATATTCAGCTCCAGAAGTATGCTCGCCCCAGCTCTGCCTTTGCACCTAAATCCTGGATGGAAGATAGCTTGAACAGGGCTGACAACATTTTTCCTTTTCCGGTAAGATTATGTTCCGTTAATAGATTAGGATGAATAAGGAAATAGCATGGTGTGATATCTGTGTAACTAGAGTTTGAAGTGCCCGTATTCACATCAGAGCTTTTCTTAAATCGAAAAGGATTCAATCACCAGACTTTATTTTAGCAGGAGTGTAATTGGAACAAAATATTCAGCTGTTTCTTTGGCAGTTTTCTAAGTTGTAGCCTTAATCTTGTCATAGATAATTATGAATACCTAGTAGCTGGTGATGTAATAATTATTAACTCTAATACCTTTCTTGCCTGACATGAGAATCAGGGTCAGTTTTTTCCCTACTTATTTAGATGAGAATAAATAATACGTAGATATAAATATATTTTATTGCAGAAACTAATGAATGTTTTCTGAAGTAACTATATAACTAAACAAATTTCTTTTGACACTGTAAGGTAGTGACTCACTGACAACCAGCTATTGAATTACAGTTTTCTCTCTGGTTGGTTGCATTTTAAAACTGGAAACTCTCTGAACCTTGTAGGTCTGAACAGCCTGAATTGATGGATTTGGCAATTTCTCTTAAACCTCTTCAAATTTTGGCCTACCTTGCATGAGTAAGGACTATCTAGTGAGAGAAATTATCTAAATGTTTTCTTCTTCCCCATTTATTTTTGAACACTGTGAAACTGTTCATCTCAGAGTGACTCTTTATGCCTTTCACCCATTTGCTTATTTTCCAATGTTAACATTGGTGGTATAGATAATTAAACCATTCCTAAAAATAGATCCAGGCAAAGATCATTTGTCTTTCTTGCTACCAGAATATCTTTATTCTGGCAAGAGTCATTGATGTTTTTGAATTAATGAGCAGCAAGTTAGGTTGATATGAACAAGATAAAGGGAATTTCATAGGTGGTTGAATGTCAGATGCTCCACTAAATGTGTATACTTTGAGGGTATGATTGTATGTATTTAGGAAATTTATAAGGAGTAAGAATCTAGCATTGAATCTACTTTTCCCAGCAACCTCACAGGGTGAATTCTGTTATTATCCCGATTTTACAGATGCAGAAATTGAATATGAGAAATATATAATAACTAAAAAAAAAATACACAGCTGGTCAGAGTACAAATTCTAAGTTAAAAAAAAAAGACAAGGATTGAAAATATGTATACATACATGTGTGCACATACACATGTGCTATAGCTAGAGGGTTGCTTTAGAAATATTTCTGCAAAGGCTAAAACAGATTACAGAATCATTGCACTGTTCCCAAATATGATGTTAGCCCTAGCAGAATTATTTGTTTTAATTAATAATTGGCTGAGAGGCAGGGGAAGTTTGCTAAGAGAACCCTATATCATTCCTTCCCTGAGGATTCAGGTGCAGTGCATCTTAAAATATGTGGGTATATTTAGTTTTTGACTTTTAAAAATGATTTTTTTTTTTCCTATCAAAAAGCTATTGGCATTTGCTTTAAAGAGTTTCAGTTGTTAAAACGAAAGATCAATTACTGTGCTTTAGTGGTCAGGTAAAAAGGCTGTTTAAGAAGTCCGTTTTTAAAAAGTTGTCTTTGATATTCCTTTGAACATAAATTTAAAGAAAATTTAATGCAAAGGTAAGTTTTATGAATTATTCTTATACTGCTAATTTTAAAAAATGTAAGTTAACATTCAATACATTTTAACTGGATTAAGATTTGACTCAAAATCAAAATAAGAAAAAATACACCTTTTTTTCTTATTTTGCTGCCATATGCTGGCACAGTGAATTTATGTGGCCTCACGGTTTGGTTCCCATTCTCAGCTTACTGACTTTTAATAAAGATTGCTTTAGGAAAAATGAAAAGTTCAGACAATGAATAAAATATACATGTATGCACATTAATATTTTTTTCTGTTGGGCTAATAGAGTGTGTGTTATGTGTGAAATCTTTTTGAACAGTTTCTTTGGAGATTACGTTGATTTATGAAATAATAGTTAGACTAAGATTGATACTAAATATATTGTTAGAAACTAACTCTTCCCTTAGAATTGCTGTCTTTTATATTGATTATGGGAAAAGGATGGGTCAGTGTACCTGACTTTCAAATATGGTAAGATTCAAAAATAAATTGTTAATTCTGCTCCCCATCCCCACTATTTGTAGCTATGTGTGTGTGTGTGTGTGTGTGTGTGTGTGTGTGTGTGGGAGAGAGAGAGAGAGAGAGAGAGTGCATGCACACACGTTTGAGGAGAGAGAGCTAGAAAAAAAGTGATTTGAAAGTCACAAGAGAAATAAGTGGTTTGAAAAAAATATAAGAAACTCCTAATAGGGTTTTGAAAAAGTCTAAAGAAGTAAGTAAACTGACTACTGTGATTCTTACTTAAATGAATGCTGTTCATTTTGCTTTTTAAAAACCAATAATTCTTCTGAATTAGTTATTTTTGAGAAAAAGTATCATTTTAAGTTGGTATAAGTAACTTGGTTAAATTTGTCTTATTTAAATTTATAACTTATAGGCACATGCCTGTAAGTAATCCCAGCTGCTTGGGAGGCTGAGGCAGGAGGATTACATGAGCCCAGGAGTTTGGGACCAACCTGGGCAACATAGTGAGACCCCCGTCTCAAAAAAATAAATAATTTATAACTTAAACACTACTAATTTTAGGAAAGAAATTTTATAGATATTACCACTTCAATTTAATTACTATTAAAAAGAATTCCTTTCTTCTGCAATATTTCTCATAGGGAAAAAAAGAATAAAAAGAATTCCTTAGGTGTGATAGAGAAATCTTGAAACTTACCACAGACATTAAAGGATAGTGCTCACGAGTACATTATAATAATGGTATTCAATCAGAAGCCAGCACGTTATTGTTATATTAAAAGGAAATAATTTACCTGAAGTGTAACCGATAGTAGGCAATGTTTATTTTAATTTGAGATGAACCAGAATGATTTTTACATTTGTTTACTGCAGTTTGGGCATATATAATAAATTAAAATTAATAACCTTTTAAATTCATAATCCCCCCCTCCCAATAACTGATAGGGGAAGACATTTTATTTGGAGGATTTTTGTATATTAAAATGTGTTTCTAAGTTATTTTTGCTTAGCTTAAAGCTTCATTACATGAATTCAGAGGGCATCCCTCAAATCCTGATTTTGTTTGTTTTTTTGAGACAGGGTCTCGCTTTGTCACTCAGGCTAGAGTGCAGTGGCATAATCACAGCTCACTGCAGCCTTGACCTCCCTGGGCTCAAGAGATCCTCCCACCTCAGCTTCCCCAGTAGCTGGGACTATAGGCACACACTACTATGTCCGGCTACTTTTTGTATTTAGAGACAGGGTTTCACCATGTTGTCCAGGCTGGTTTCAAACTCCTGAGCTCAAGCAACCCACTTGCCGTGCTGAGATTACAGGTGTGAGCCACTGTGCCTGGCCGAAATCCTGTTTTTAGACACAGCTAAAGTAATATGTATATAATAATAGCTAACATGTGGCCGGGTGTGGTAGCTCACGCCTGTAATCCCAGCACTTTGGGAGGCTGAGGTGGGCAGATCACTTGAGGTCAAGAGTTCAAGACCGGCTTGGCCAACATGGTGAAACCCTGTCTCTACTGAAAATACAAAAGTTAGCCGGGCGTCGTGGTGGTTGCCTGTAATCCCAGCTACTCCAGAGACTGAGGCAGAATCACTTGATCCCTGGAGGCAGAGGTTGCAGTGAGCTGAGATCATGCCACTGCTCCCTAGCCTAGGGGACAGAGTGAGACTCCATCTCAAAAAAAAAAAAAAAAATCTAACATGCCTCCTGTATTCTAAATGTTTTACATGTATTGATTCATTTAATTCGTTCAACAATCCTATGGAGCAGAAATTATTATTTTTATTCACAGACAAGATTTGGCTGTTAATCATTAGACTACAGGGCCTCTTCACATAATGATAATATGGCAGGGGGATAGTGGGTGCAGGTGGGACCGGAAGGGAGAGTGCCTCCCAGATGCATGTAAGATGAGAGGAAAGATTTTACAGTGATACATGATGATCAAAGGCTGATTGTAGATAGGGTATTGAAAGGGGAAAATAATTGAGTATACTTGTTTATCAACTTTAAATGTTAAACTTAGATAATATTTAGATCAATGCTTTTGTTTTACATTTTGAGCACATGTTATATACCAGGCACTGGGCTAGGTGCTTTCAAATATGTTATTTCACTTCCTATGTAGGATTTCTCAGCCCTGTGACGTGTGGTTTTATTGTTCCAATTTCAAAATGAAGGTCTATATTCATGCGACTACAGGCATGATTTGACCCTTACCGTAAGCAGAAAAAAAAAATCCTGTCTTACCAAACATATCTTAGAATTCTGACATCCAAAGCAGATAATATATTGGGGCACCTGCCAGTAATTATATTTGAATATAGCATTTCTTTGGAGGGGTGCCTAGATCTTCTGTCCTTACAGGAAAGTAAAGGAGAATTACTTAGTATATGTGCTGACATCCTCTTAACTGCAGCTCAATTATGTTGCCACTTTCATTAGCTAAGAGTCAGGTAGGAAGGAAAAAGACAAAATTTGTATGTCACAAAGACTATCCTAAAATTTGTTTGATAGGGAAACAAGTGTATAGATCCTCAGACTTATATACTGCATCTTATATTTGCAAACGGAACACCGCTGCAGTGCTTCAGTCCTGAAAGTCATGGTGGATTATTAAAATTGTCTAATGTGCAACCTCATTACATTTTCTTGTTTCTTAATACAGTATCGTTCCAAGAGGGATCTTTGCATAGGAAACATTTTCTTTGACTTAGAAAGGGAGAAACCAATTTTTTCACAGTAAATTATGGGTCGGATGTTCTAGATCTAGCAGAATTGACATATTGGAAAAATCTTCCTCTTTGTAGAAGGCTGTTTAACTAGGTTAGATAGCTTTTTTTTTTAAATTAAAACTAATTCCAGGGTAGAGTTTTTTTATTTTTTTTATGTTCAGAGAAGCATGGCATATGATCAGCACATTGTTCCAACACCTT